AAGACCATCTGGGTGCAACAAGCCCCTGTTCTTTCTCCCAGGAGAGGATGGCCTTGAGGAGAAAAATTGCTATGGTCCTGGGGAAGACACCTGGACATACCCCACACAAAGCAGGGGAGATTTTCCAGCCAGATCCCTAGAGGAAACTTGGAGAAAAAGGTTTGGTGCTGTCCCAGAGAAGGAAAAGAATAATAATATCCAACCCCATCTGACCTCTGGGAACAAGGTCAAGTGCTTTATCTTTCCAGCCACATGGGAAGGAGGACAGGAACTGGAGGAAGAAACTGGAGGCCCAGGGAGGTCAAGTGATTTTTTCCCCAAGTCACACTGTCAGTCACAGGGCCTGTCATGATTTGAACCCGTGGTACCCTGCTCTCTTCACTAAACCACAGGGAGGGAGGACAGAAGTGGGGAGCACTGCGTGTTTGCAGGGCAAAGATTCAGACAAGGAACCAGTCTTGCTTGGAAATGAAATGGAAAATGATCTGTCCATGGTGGGCTCATGCATGGCTGGTGCAGCAGAGAAAAGTCTACCCTCTTCCAGAGCAATTTGGAAACGGGCGCCCAGGACTTAATAGTGTTCCTTCCCTTTAGCCCGCTGATTCAACTGCTGGGAATTGAACCTGAGCCTGAGGATGGAAAGACATTACGACAAAGATGTTTATTGCAGTGTTGGTCATAACGGCAGAAGGTTGAGATGAGCCAAACATCTGATAGGAAGAAAATTATTAAGAAAACCGAGACAGTCATAGAATATTACATAGCCAATAACGGTGCCATTTGAGAAGGCTTTTTCCATTGTGAGGAAAGGCTTCCATTAAAATGCAAGTCAGATAAAAAACAGGATGTGAAATTCTTCATGCCAAATGACAACAGCTATCTAAAGTAGACACAGGGAAAAAACCAGAAGCAAACGAGCGGAAGTGGAACTGCAGAAGCCTTTGGGGGGGTGGGTAAGAACCAAGAGGAACTTGGGTTCTGTATTCTGCTTTTCTGTATTTTCTCTAATAACTATGTATTACTGGTAATCTTTTAAAGGAAAATATGCTAAACATTTTTCTGATTATAAAATTATACCTTCTTTCTTTTTAATTATTTTTGATGTTTACTGATTTTTGAAAGAGAGAGACAGAGACACAGAGAGACAGAGTGAGCGGGGGGGGGGGGGGGAGGCAGAGAGAGGAGCCACAGAATCTGAAGCAGGATCCAGGCTCCGAACTGTTTGCACAGAGCCCGATGTGGGGCTCAAACTCACGAACCGCGAGATCATGACCTGAGCCAAAGTCGGACCCTCAACCAACTGGGCCACCCAGGCGCCCCTAAAATTATACCATCTGATGGTAAAAAAATTTTTAGCAATACAGATATGTTATGAAAGTAAAAAGTGAAAGAACTCTATAACCCCACTGTCCAGAGATAACCAGTGTTAATACCCTTTTAGCCATAAATACACACATACAGATACACAAAAACGCACAACTCATGCACATAGATACATATACACATGTACACACAAATACACAGACATGCACACATATACTCATACACATAGATATACACACACATACCTATGTACATGCACACATATACATGCACATGTATGCATACACAAACACACACACATATATTTACTTTTATGCAAAAGTGGGACCATATCCAAACACCATCTTGGAGCTTGTTTTCTTTCATGGTAATATAATGCATCCATTTCTCCATGTCAACATCCACAGATCAGACTTATCCTTTTTTTCAACTTTTTTTTTTTTTAAGTAGGCTTCACACCCAATGCGGGGCTGGAACCCACGACCCCAAGATCAAGAGTCGCATGCTCTTGGCTCTGAGCCAAACAAGCACACCCCCGGACTCATCTTTTTTTTTTTTAATGTTTATTTTTGAGACAGAGAGACAGAGCATGAATGGGGGAGGGTCAGAGAGAGAGGGAGACACAGAATCGGAAGCAGGCTCCAGGCTCTGAGCTGTCAGCACAGAGCCCGACACGGGGCTCGAACTCACTGACCGTGAGATCATGACCTGAGCCGAAGTCGGACGCTTAACCGACTGAGCCACCCAGGCGCCCCAGGACTCATCCTTTTTGATGGCTGTTTAATATTCCACAGTGGGATGCAGAATAATTTATTTTTGCCACAAATACTTCATTTCTGGATCTTTATGCTGTTTCCAATTATTTTAATCATAACAACATATTTTACATATATCTTAGCATATGCATTTTTTCCTAGAAATGGAATTGCTACGGCAGATGGAAGGCACTTTTTAATGTTTTTCATCTGTATTACCAAATTCCATCTAGAAGATTGGATGGGTACGATTTTTTTTAATGTTTATTTATTTTTGAGAGACAGAGAGAGAGAGAGAGAGAGAGAGAGACACAGAGAGTGTGAGCGGGGGAGGGGCAGAGAGAGAAACGGAGACAGAATCTGAAGTGGGCTTCAGGCTCTCGGCTGTCAGCACAGAGTCGGACACGGGGCTCGAACCCACGAACCGTGAGATCATGACCTGAGCCACAGGCAGACGCTTAACCGACTGAGCCACCCAGGTGCCCCTGGATGGATATAATTTTAAGAAGAGTGTCCACTTCCCCACATTTTTGTGACATTTTTTGCCAATGGTATGGGTGGGAAGATGTCATCGTTGATTTAATTTGCGTCTATCTTGGTGGGATTCCTTTTCACATGTTCACACGTCTTTTGGATTTCTTTTGTGAATCACCTACTCACGCACATCTTTTGAGTCTTCTTTCTTTAGTAGAACTGTATTGTCTTAATAATTGGAATTGTGATATGAATCTTAATTGAAAAGAAGGAACACATATCCAGCTTTACCCAGGGATCTGTGAATCTGAAGGCAGAGAAATTTGCAAAAAAGGGTGATCCGAGGGGCAGAACCCTGGAGTGGGCAGCAAGAGTTCCCACCCCAGTCCTGCTTTGCTCTTAACCGGCTGTGAGGGCTCCACACCCTCCTTCAAGGTCACTGGCTTTCAAAATCCTCACGTGGATCACCCCCAGCCTCACCCCATGATAGCACAGTGCTTCTCAGTCCTGGCTGTACTTTATTTATTTATTTTTTTTTTTTAAATTTTTTTTTCAACATTTATTTATTTTGGGGACAGAGAGAAACAGAGCATGAACGGGGGAGGGGCAGAGAGAGAGGGAGACACAGAATCGGAAACAGGCTCCAGGCTCTGAGCCATCAGCCCAGAGCCTGACGCGGGGCTCGAACTCACGGACCGCGAGATCGTGACCTGGCTGAAGTCGGACGCTTAACCGACTGCGCCACCCAGGCGCCCCAGTCCTGGCTGTACTTTAGACAAACCTGAGGAACTTCAAAAAAAGACATGTATTCCCAGTGCCCACCCTAGAGATCCTGACTCAATGGTTTAAAAAGCTGCCAGGTGACTTATATGCAACCCGGGTGGAGGACACACATCAAAAGAGGCCTGCTCTGGCTAAAAAGAGGCAGAGCATAAACCCACTCACTCCCCTACCCAGCTATCCCCGAGGCCACTTCTGGGACCACAGGAACTCCGAGAATCTGTAGCAAGTCTTTGACACAGCAGCTCCACAACTGTACAACAGAATACTACGCTACCACCAAATAACAAGGCGGCCTGCATGTGCCAATTGGGAAATTTCCCACTGTGCATTTTTTTAAGTCTATTTATTTTGAGAGAGAGAGAGAGAGAGCACAAGCAGGGGAGGGTCAGAGAGACGTGGGGGGTGGGGAGGGGGAAGAATCCCAAGCCCTAGGCAGGGCTGGAACCCACCAACCATGAGATCATGACGTGGGCTGAAATCAAGACGGACGCTTAACTCACTGAGCCACCCAGGTGTTCCCCCACCGTGCATTTTTAAGGGAGAAGGACAAGTCTTGAACAGCATGTATTGTACATGATCCCTGTGTTTTAGGAAAAAGCCTACCTTTAAAAAAATTTTTTTTCTTAATAAAAATAAAAGAGGTGCCTGGATGGCTCAGTCGGTTAGGCGTCCGACTTCAGCTCGGATCATGATGTCACAGCTCACGAATTCAAGCCCCGCATTGGGCTGTGTGCTGACAGCTCAGAGCCTGGAGCCTGTTTCACATTCTGTGTCTCCTCTCTCTGCCCCTCCCCTCACTCACACTCTGTCTCTCAAAAATGAAGAAACGTTAAAAGAAGTTTTTTAAGCCTACATATGTGCAACATACAATATCGAACACACGTTTGTACATGCATGCAAAAATAAATGATACACATCAAACCTTCCCCATCCTTACTACAATTTGTAGTTCTGCACTTATTTGTTTTCCCATTTATTTGTCACCCACCTTCACTATGCAGCAAGCTCGCAGGAGAAGGAACCATGTCTATTCATCAACAGAGCTTTGGAGCCCAGAGCATCTCTGGCACATGATGGGTCCTCAGGTAACATTTGTTAAAAGAGAGACCAACAGAGAAAGAGAAAGGAGCAAGAGAAAGAGAGAAGAGAAACTTGTTCAAAGAGAAGAAGAAAGGCCGGAGAAAGAAAGAAGAAAGTTAGAGTTGAAATTTCACTTACAACTTTAATTGGTTGACTATTTTTAAATTTTTTATGTTTATTTATTTTTGAGAGAGACAGAGCACGAGCAGGGGAGGGCAGAGAACCAGGGGGACAGAGGATCCTGGGGCCCCACGCAGGGCTCAAACCCACCAACCGTGAGATCATGACCTGAGCTGAAGTCAGAGGCTTAACTGACTGAGCCACCCAGGCGCCCCAAATGGTTGAACATTTAAAAAATAGCTTTAGGGGCGCCTGGGTGGCTCAGTCGGTTAGGCGGCCGACTTCGGCTCAGGTCATGATCTCGCGGTCCGTGAGTTCGAGCCCCGCGTCGGGCTCTGTGCTGACAGCTCAGAGCCTGGAGCCTGTTTCGGATTCTGTGTCTCCCTCTCTCTGACCCTCCCCCGTTCATGCTCTGTCTCTGTCTCAAAAATAAATAAACGTTAAAAAAATTTTTTTTAAATAAAATAAAATAAAAAAATAGCTTTATTGTAAAAGAAAATACAGACACGGAAAAATCCGTGTGCTCCAACGTACGGCTTAACTCCTCACTGCAAGGTGCGCCCCACTGAGCCCAGGAGGACCTCTGCCAGCCGCCCCACCGGGCTCTCCCCGTGTCTCCCCAACGCCCCACCCCGCGGTAACCGTTACCCCGACTTTTCTAGGGCACGGTGTCGGGCGGCAGGGGTAGGAGTGGGGGCTCTCAAGGAAGCTTCCCCGGCCCTCGGACACCCCGCTCCCCTCGCAGCTTTCGCAAGACCCTCCCGCGCGGAAATCCGCATCCCCTTTCGAAATGCAATTTCATGCAAATCCCAGCCGACCCGGCAGAAGCGAAAGAGGATCCGAAACCGCGCGCTGAGCGATGTCAGGTTCAGGGCCGCGCAGGCTGGAGGCGCGGGGGCGGCGGGGTCGCTCCCGCGCGCAGGGGGAGGCCCCGCGGGCGCAGGCCGCGCGTCGGAGAGAAGGTCCGGGCTCGGGGGCCTGTGCGCGTCCACACCGCCGCCCGAGGAGACGCTGGAGGGTGGGGGGGCGCTGCCGGCGGTCGGGCCTCTGCAGAGGACTCACTTCACTTCCTTCCACTCCTTTCTGTGGAAAGGAAACACCTTCCAGAGTGTTTATTGATTTTATGTACGCACGCACGCACGCACGCCCCTCCCTCCTGCCCATCTTCGGGGTCCCCTCCTCCAAGAAGCCGCCTCCCTCTCCCGGCTCCTCAGGAATTCTCTGGAGCTTCTCTTTCTGGAGCCAGTATCTGCCACGCTACCGCTGTTTGCCACACCGTGGAAGAGTCGCTCCCTTTCCCTGGGCCTCAGCCTCCCGGTCTGTCAAACGGGGCTGACACCGAGTGGTGCTGAGCGCCCCCTGGCCACTATCACCTTCCACCCCGGAAAGGGAAAGGAAAGGGGCGGGAGGCCTGAATTCTACCCCATCCCCACCTCTCCCCTGCTCAGACCCTGCCAACAATCTGCTGTTCTCTGGCCAAGTCACCCCTTCGTTGGGTCTCCCTTTCAAACTTCCCTAACATGAAGGAGTTGGCGAAGCTCAGGAATTTTATGTTCGTGCTGTGGAAATGATCACGAGGCCTGCCCTGGGGCTCTGGCCTCATTCGAAGAAGGCTTTCCAAACCCGGGTTGCCCTCTGGCCCATGTTTGCCCTCCTCTTTCCCTGTCACTCTCTCCACCCCCCCAAAGGCAGGCCTCCTCTTGGAAAACAACTGCCAGGACATTCCCGTGGGGGCAGCGGGGCGGGGGGGGGGGGGGCCCCGGCCCCGGAAGGGGGGGATTTCCAGATCAATGAGGAAGTCCTTCCCCCGAGCTGGAACTGGCCATTGAGTCTGTGCCCTGAAGGACGCGTGTGACCTGCACGGCCTTGAAGGTTTGGTTTTTAAAAACATACTTTTGATGAGTTGCCAACACTGAAGATCAAGAGATAACAAATCGAATTTGGGCTGACTTCCTGCAGGATCGTAGTCGGTCTGCCGAGCCCTTCCACGTGTCCACTTCTGGCCCCACCAGGGTCCTTCGGGGCCTTCGAAGCAGAGATTTCTGTTTGAGGCTGAAGAAATGTGTAGCAGTGGAAGTCAGGAGGAAGGACTTTGGAGTCCAGAACGCTGAGATTCTGCAAGGGCAAAGGCTGGCCTTGCCCCAGGAAATGTTGCGTTAGACTCAGTTAGGCCTCAGTTGCTCCGCTGCACAATGTTCGCGCAGGCTAGTTCAAGGATCCCTGAGGACTTCATCCGTGATGGTCTCTTGTTCTGTGTTCACTTGGAGGGTGCATTCCTCAGGCCTGTGGCCCAGGCCCGTGGTCCCAGAGTCCTTGGGGTCCTGGCCTGCCCCGGATCCTTCCTCTCTCCCTTCAGCCCTTCTCCCTCCCTGAGAGGGGCCTGTGTTTGGCCACCTGAGCCTCTCATGACCACCCAGACGTGTACGACATTGTTCTCTGGGCTGCACAGGCCCCTTCCCAAAGAAAATTCCCTCCAGGTCCAATGGGGTCACCTACAACTTCCAGCTTACTCTATTCATTGGCCTCATCTATCAGTCCTGAGATATTATAAACCACAGCCGCCAGCCCGGTGTCAGGCCTGTGGGGACACAAGGGAGAACTAAAGCATTCTTAACCTCTGTGACCTCACAGCTCTCACGGGGAGACAGACCCATGGATAAGGATAGTGAAAGATAAATTCTCTGATGGGCGAGTACAGGGCTGACAGGGCACTTGACTCAGTTAAGAGGGTAAGGAGGGGGCTTCCTGGAGGAGGCAGTATCTAAGATGAGACCTGGAGGTTGAGTTACCAGGCCAGCATAGCAGGTAGGAAAGGGTTTGGGGGCAGAGGGACTAGCGTGTGCAAAGGCCCTGAGGAGAGAGAGAACATGGTACATTCAGGGCCCTGGAGAGATGAGGCCCTGGGGGAGACCATTCTGAGGCCAGGAGCAGTTTTGGAGTTTAGAAAGGCTACATTCCCTGCTACCTCCCTGGCTATCCAGGTCCTTCGAGGCCCTGACGTCCCACAGCTTCTCGAAGATAAGGTCATACTGATGCTGTTCAGCAAATATGCCTGGATTCACCAGCAAGCACCCAGCTCCAGGCCAGCCCCCTCCCCACGGGGCCAGCCGAGGGCCATGGACACAGCAGACATTACCAAAGGCAGCCAGCCTGAATTCATAGGCTGCTGGCTGGGTGCCCACCCTTGGCCCAGCCCTGCCTCAGTCACCCACTGCGATGGACCAAATGTTTGTGTCCACCCCAAATTCGTATATTCAGATTCCAACCCCTAATGTGATGGTATTAGGAGGTGGGACCTTTGGGAGGCAAGTAGTTCATAAGGGTGGAGCCCTAATGAATGGAGTTAGTGCTCTTACGAAAGGGACCCCAGAGAGCCCCCTTGCTTTTTTCCCACCGTGTGAGGATACAACGAGAAGTCGGCAGTCTGCATCTGGGAAGGGGGTCCTGTCCAGAACCTGACTGTGCTGGCTCCCGGGTCTCGAACCTCCAACCTCCAGCACTGTGAGAAATAAGTTTCTGTTGTGTCTGAGCCCCCCCACTCTGGGTAGTTTGTTACAGCAGCCCCTTTGGACTGACACCCTTTGGGTGAGCGGCAAGTCCTCAGGGCCCTCGGCCTGGATCTGAGGCAGAAAGTCCCACAGGGGGCGCTGTCCCTGGCATTTATGGTATTCGTGCAGGCGTCTTGGCTTCTCGCAATGACGGGGTGGGACAAGAGGGACTATGGGCATTTGGGGCAAGGCAGGAAGGCTGGCCCTGCAATGCTCAGGGCTGCCCCTTGGGGCAGAAAAATTGTTCCCAGCGTCCTCTCCTGATTTTTACATGTCCCTTCAGATATTCATGTCATAGAAAAATCCAAGCTCCATCTCACAGTTAAAAATTGTTTTTAATGTTGGGGCACCTGGGTGGCTCAGTTGGTTGAGCATCCAAATTCGGCTCAGGTCATGATATCGCGGTCCGTGAGTTCGAGCCCTGCATTGGGCTCTGTGCTGACAGCTCAGAGCCTGGAGCCTGCCTCCGATTCTGTGTCTCCCTCTCTCTCTGCCCCTCTGCCACTCGTGCTCTGTCTCTCTCAAAAGCTAAATAAACATTTTTTAAAAATTAAAAAACATTTTTTGAGAAAAGAGAGCGCGAGCGGGGGAGGGACAGAGAGTGAGGGAGACATAGACTCCGAAGCAGGCTCCAGACTCCGAGCTGTCAGCACAGAGCTCAACGCGGGGCTTGAACTCACAAACTGCGAGATCATGAATGACCTGAGCCCAAGTCGGATGCCCAACCGACTGAGCCACCCAGATGCCCCCATCTCACAGTTAAAAACAAGGTATTTTTGCATGTTTTGAAGCACACTTTGGGAATGCTAATTAATGGAAGACTGTACTTTTTTGTGTGGCAGGTCTACCAGGAGTTTTAGCCATCTCGGAAAATTACAGTTCTGACAGCAGCCTCTCCTGGGATTCAAGTCCCCAGAACAGGATCCTTAAAGCCACCTGCATTTGCAGCCGGTGTTGTGCGATGCGCTTATTGTGGTGTGAGCGTCTGGCCGCCTTGCGCCCCCTGGTGTCTGTTGGTGGGATTGGCTGGGCATTCACCTATTGAGATGCGCATAAATGTATTATGACTTTTTTTTCCTTTACATGTTAGTTGGGGCATTATACTGCTTTTCTTTAGAAAAAAAAAATACGTGTGTGGATAAGTTTGATTATCTGTGTGGATGATTTTATCGTGAAGCCCCTGAGACCCTCTCAGGACAGTACTAAGACACTGCCTTTCTCATCACGGACATTTGATGATGCAGAAGCCAGGTCAGTTTAACTGGCTGGAACCTCAGCAAGAGGTTCCCAAGCTGTGCAGGAGGGGGGGGTCTCCCCAGTATCCTGCATAGACACACACTCAGAGTGACAAAAAATGCCAGCGTCGTCTAAGAGGGTCCTTGGTGAAACAGTAAAAATGATAAATTTCATTGAATCTCAGCCCTTGAGTGCCTGCCTTTTAATATCCTGGGTGATGACATCAGCCGTGTGTCTAGAGCACTTGGGCTGGTACCTGCGTGGAAGACTGCAGGGACAAGCACTTGTGAGCTTGTCTGAGTTGGAGGCAAACCAGCCTCTCTGTCCACAGATCACCATTTTTACTAGGAAGCACAACCCACAAACTGTGGGTGTACAGACTTTGCTATCTAGCAGGCAGCTTTTCAAAAAGGAGCAAAATGAGCTCTCCCTCCAAGGAAAAACAGTTGATCCCATTTGTTGTCAATGATGAAATTTGAGCTGTGAAACAGAAGATAGAATTTTGGAAAACTTGTCTCCACTACTGTGAGCTTGACAGCTTGCTAATATTTAAAGACTTTCCTGATGAGATGAGTGGCCATGTTAATGAATGAGGTTTTTTTTTTTTAATTTTTTTTTAACGTTTATTTATTTTTGAGACAGAGAGAGACAGAGCATGAACGGGAGAGGGTCAGAGAGAGGGAGACACAGAATCTGAAAGAGGCTCCAGGCTCTGAGCTGTCAGCACAGAGCCCGACGCGGGGCTTAAACTCACAGACCGTGAGATCATGACCTGAGCCGAAGTCGGCCGCCTAACCGACTGAGCCACCCAGGCGCCCCATGAATGTGAGTTTTTACATTGTTTAATGATGCGTCATCTTTTGGAAGATCTGTGCCACTCAGCGAATGAAAAATTTCCAAATGACCAATGCATGATACTACAAGATCATACCTAGGTAAAAGATCCATTTCAAGTGCAAAATAGACCCATGCATTTTTTTTTAAATAAGAGTGTATGAAATATTCATGGATGCGGTTTCAGATTCCACATGGCAACGAATCTTTAAGAAACTGCCACTTGTTGAGTTCTGGTGTAGAATCAAAGAGGACACACGATTATGGGAAACACTATTAAACCCACTCCTCTCTTTTCCGACTACATGTCTATGAGGTCAGATTTTCTTTAATCAGAACAACATCTCGGGGCGCTGGGGTGGCTCAATGTGTTAAGCGTCTGACTCTTGGTTTCAGCTCAGGTCATGATCTCACGGTTCATGAGTTCAAGCCCCGCATTGGGCTCTGTGCTGGCAGTTCAGAGCCTGCTTGGGATTGTCTCTCTCTGTCTCTGCCCCTCCCACATGCTCTCTCTCTCTCTCTCTCTCTGAAAATAAATAAATAAACTGAAAAAAAAAAAAAAGAAAGAAAGAAAGAACAGCATCTCACAACCATCAGTGCAGAAGCAGGTACAAAGATCCAACAGTCTTCTATTAAGATAGTCATTAAAGAGATTTGCAAACACGTAGAAAACTGCCAATCTTCTCACAACTTCTTGGAAGTTGCGGAAATGTAGACAGCTTTCGTAAAAATCTGGTCATTGTTCATGAATATATT